GCAGAATTTGGGAGTTCATTAATTCCAAATACAGAAGACTGGAATATCAGTTAACCATGGATAGGTTACTTGTCTGTTCTTCCAAATGTCAGTTAATATCATTATTGTTGCTGATATTGTACTTATTATACTTATGAGGCAATGAGAAGAAAGTGTTGCAAAGACAATGATAGAAGAGATTCAGAAAATTACAGGTAATACAGATATGTGAAGGGGAAAGTAGTTAATATGTCTGTTGTTGAGTAAATCAAAAAGGTAAAAGAAATCAACACTTACTCAAGGACACAGATATTGCGACAAATCACAATGTGATTAGTGATGTAGATGATGAAAAACTTTCAGAGATTTACAGAAAAGATTAAAGATAAATTAAAGGAAAAGCAAAATTAGTACTATAAGATGAAGAAAAAATAAACTTAATTACTACTATAAACTTTCATGCCACAGGTCTGTTGATGTTTTGTCTTTCAGCAAGTACAATGAAAGAAAGTTGGAAAACTGAAGATGTAAATGAAAATATATCAGAGAAAGACTAGTAAGACTTTAAGAGGAACTGGAAGCAGGAGCCCTCTACTGAAGGGAGGGACATATTTCCCTTTTATGATAGACAAGTGTGTATAAAAACAATTTGATGAATAAGGTTAGCAGAAAAAGGAGAAGTTGATTCAGGGTAAAGTAAATGCATGGGGTAAGGAAATTTGGTCTGCTTGTACATCATAGTTGTAGAACTTAATTTTGACATTACTAAGGTTGGGCAATCTACTTCCGTAGTGATACTGCCTCGGAAACCCAAGAAGGGGTCGCTATGAGTCAGGTCCCACTTGACAGCACATAACAACAACAACAACAACATGCTTATAGTACTACTTCAGGAAAGGAGAAGTATTCCCAAATATTTATTATGGCTTCAAAATAAGAATGTAAGACTGGGAAACATGTAAAGTATTTTATTCCAATTTCCAGCATTGCATTAACTCCAAGGTTAAAAACCTAAAAGAGTTATATAAGGTTTATCTACATTAAAAAAAAAGGTTTCTATCCAGTTAAATCCCACTTATGTTGATCCCATGAACTTCAGAATACAGCTCTGCTCCATAAGAATTTCTGAGGTTGATGTTTTTGGAAGTAGATCACCAGGCCTTTATGGTGTGGCAGCTCTCAGAGGATTTTAACTTGCCACTTTTTCCGTAGCAAAAAGCATGTTAATTGCCTGTACTGCACAAGGACTCCTTTTTCTATCTATATATTTTATCATGGAAAATAGATATTCACAAGTCAATACAGAAAAACCTACATTAAACAGTTATAAGTGAAGAAACCCTAAGATGGCTCATTATGAGTGGGATTCGACTCGCTGGTGCTGAATTTATTTTTATTTTACTTTTTTGTATGTGTGATGTTGACAAAAAAAGTTGTGACTTTCAGTTCACTTCTGCAATAGAAATAAAAACTTTAAGACAGGTAATAAAGTAATACATGCTTTACATACCAAAATATTAGGGACATTGGAATTAGGAAAGGAGTAAGAAAAAAATAACTGAAAAACATCTCCTAATTTAATTTTTCATGGGTTCAAGACTTCTTTCCTTTTCTCCCAGGTATGAGATGTCTCATCCAGAGATGCCCAATTCCACTATGAAGATGGAATTTTTACTGATGGGGTTTTCTGATATTTGGGAACTACGGATTTTTTGTGCATCATCATTCTCTCTGATGTATTTGGTGACTCTCATAGGGAATTTTCTCATTGTTATCATCACCACACTAGACAAGAGTCTTCACATCCCCATGTACTTCTTTCTCAGAAATCTGTCCATCTTAGATATTTGTTACATTTCTGTAACAGTCCCTAATTCATTTATCAATGCCCTGCTTGACAGCCATACCATTTCAAAGGCAGGATGTGTAGGTCAGGTCTTCTTTGTGATTTACTTTGCATATGTGGAGCTAGTGTTCCTCACCATCATGGCCCATGACCGCTATGTGGCCATCTGCCAGCCTCTCCACTACTCTGTGATTATGAACCCTCGGCTCTGTGTCCAGATGACACTGGCTTCCATCCTCAGTGGTCTGGTCTACTCAGGATTCCACACAGGCTACACCTTCAGACTGCCCTTTTGTCATTCTAATGTTATTCATCAGTTTTTCTGTGACATCCCCTCTCTGTTGAAGCTCTCCTGCTCTGACACCTTCAGCAATAAGATGACACTCCTTGCTTCTGGTGTGATATTTTGTGGAGGTTGTTTCGTCTTCATCATCAGGTCTTATATTTACATATTTTCTGCTGTGCTGAAGTTTCCACGTGGAGAAGACAGAAAAAAGGCCTTTTCCACTTGCATCCCTCATATCCTCGTGGTGTCCATCTTCCTCAGCTCAATCTTCTATGTGTACCTAAGGCCATCGGCAGTCTCTGCAACCATCCAGGATATGGTCCTTTCTGCGTCCTATACCATAATCCCCCCTCTCTTGAACCCGATTATCTATAGTCTTAGAAATGAACAAATAAAGTGTGCCATTAAGAAAATCATGAAAAAATATTTTAATCAGGAAATTCATAGAAAATTGTGTAAGCTCACCCTAAATTATTAGTTGAAAGTTATCTTTTTAGAAATAAATTGAGATTATAATTTAGAATTATACAGAAGTACTGTATGTAAAGGTCATATATAAGTTTCTTGAATATTTACCAAAATCTTTACTTTTTGTGGATTTTAAGTTCTTTGTAAAGGTTATCTGGTGTTATGAATAAGCATGTCCCAGGCATATGTGCCTGGCATGTTAAAAGCTCCCCCTGAAAATTTCAGTCTTAAAAGGCCTAAATGTTATCCTTAGCGATATTTTATGTTAAACATTATCTTTTGTTTTTTTCCATGCTTAAAATAATGGTAAACTTAGAAATAATATTTCATTATTTATTGTGAATTGCCACATTTAGCATTATAGAAGAAATGCAAGTTTTCAGTGAATTATTCATTCACAAAAGAGGTATGAAAACATAAGTTCATTGAAAGAACATAAAATTATCACTGATTTATGCTGTGAAAAGAGAAATGGATTTGATTGGGGGAGTGCTTTTCTATGAATGTTTCAGAAACACTTTACACTGCTTCCCTTGTAAAGTAAAGGGATTATGCGTAAGTTATGGTTATGAGCTGAACAAATTTTGTTAAAAGTAAATTTAAATTGCTTTACTGGATTTTACTTGTTAAAAATATTTAAAGGGGGAATATTAAATTAGAAAAGTAATAATGTCAAGCAGTTTAAGAATACCTGTTTAAATACTTTAAGCATTGTATTCTAGGTTAATTAAAGGGATGCTTGCATTATATATTCCAAGTTATTACATACCTACACACAGATCTGAAAGAGTCTTGGTACACGCTGGTTAAGCACTCAGCTGTTAACTGTAAAGTTGGCAGTTTAAACCCACTAGCCTGTCCTTGGGAGAAAGACGTGAAAGTTTACCTCCACAATAAATTATGGCCTTAGAAATTCTATGGGGGTAGTTCTATTATGTCTTCCAGGGCCACTATGAATCAAAATAAACTCAACAGTAATTAATATGGCTTTGGTTTGATGAATAGATTTCTTAAGGGCATTGAAAAGTTGAAAATAATGGTATATATATATATATATACATACGTACATGTATTGCTACTTTTATATACTTGGAAAACTAATATTGATTTTGATCAACAATGAGATACTATCTTGCTCCAGCACTAGTAGCAAAGTTCAACAAAACAGAAAATAACAAATGCTGGTGAAGATGCAGAGAGATTGAAACTCTCATATACTGATACAGGGACTGTAAAATGGTACAACCACTATGGAACACTGTTGCAGACTGGATAAGTGAAATGAAACACAAAGAGACAAACACACACATAGACGATACAAGACTGCAGCCCCCATGTGAGCTGCAACTTTATTTTTATACCTTCTGAAAAGGGATGAAAGCCAATTCTTTGAGTTCTAGTCTAAATTGTACTCTTTAATCTGTCTTTTTCCCATGCCAGAAATAATAAGGATCTGTGTTTTTACTTTTTCAGATTGTTCTCTTCTGAGAGCAGTGTGTGCGCATGTTTCTCTTTTCAGCATTTCTGTTTGCAGATCCAGGATTTCAAGAGTTCAATCTGAGTTCCAGATCCTTTAATGCACCCAGTGCTTTCAAATGGGTGCTTCCCCTTGCTGTTTTCTGAGACAAAGGGGAATATGCCAGCAAGTCCCTACAGAAAACTATGCCAATTCCTGCAAAATTGGAATTAGAAATACCATTTGACAAGCCATTCTACTACTAGGTATATAGCCTAAAGAAGTGAAAGCCAGGACAAGAACAGGTATTTGCACACTTATGTTCATCACAACATTATTTACAATAGCCAAAAGATGGAAACAATGTAGGTGTCCATCCACTGAAGAATGGATAACCAAACTATGGTACATACACAAAACTAAAAAATAATGTAGAATCTGCAAAACACTGCATAACATGGATGAACTTGGAAGAAATTATGCTGAGTGAAAAAAGTCAATCACAGAAGGAGAAATAATTGTATTAATCTATTATTGTAAAAAATCAAGGAAAAGTTCATATGTGGAAGTAAATTTTCTTTATCAATTACCAGGAATGGGAGGGGAGAGGAGGGAATACTGTTAGATAGGTAGAAACAAGTATATATTTGGGTGAAGAGAAGGACAATGTACCAAATGTGAGTGATCAACACAGTGGCATTGAGGAGCAGGAAGACATGGAGAGGTATATGGGGGGTACAGACAACAAAGATGAAACCTTTTGCACATACAATATTGCATTGTCATTGAAGATAAACATTGCATTGTCAGTGAAGGTAAACATGAATATATGGATGGATAGATGGGTGAATAGGCTGAATTATTAGGTATGTCTATGCAGGGGGGAGTGTGCCCAAGACCATGTATAGGGTTGGTAGACAAAGTTTCTACAACTGTATTGTTATGTTCTGTAAGAATTCCCATGTATATAGCAGAGCTGACAAGGGACAAAGTTGTAGTCACTTCTGGGCCACAGCTAGCTACCCAAAGGGAGTGAGTAATGGGACCTGAGGGCCCAGGACCATAGTTGCAGAGGACATCAAGCTCAATTGGCATAACATACTACACGATAGATTGCTCTACAACCTACATTGGCGAGTAGCAACTGGGATCTTAAAAGCTTGCAAGCAGCCATCCAGATGTAATGATGGGTTTCTCCTCCCCCAGAGAAAAGAAGAATGAAGAAAAGCAAAGATCATGGAAACAATTAGTCCAAGTAAGTAGTACACCATGCAATCCTCAGCCTATATGACTATGAGATGTCTAAGTCCTTAGGAAATCTCTTTTTATATTTAACACAACAATAGACCCCAACATCTGCTAAGGTAGCATCAGCTGTATAAACAAAAGGTCTCTATTCCTAGATCTCCATTATGGGTCTATAGAGTAGTCAGTCAGAAAAGTGGAATTTCCTTAAACATATATATTCTTTATTCTTCTCCTATTTTGAGGTTCTTTTTCACCCAGTTGATAAGACATGCTGGGAAAAGACTAGAGACAACACAAAGGAGAGTGAGATTGTCTCCTACTTCTAGAGTTAGAATTCCTTTTGCTTATAAATTACCAGAGGGAGTTCACCTAAGGCCAGAAAGTGGTTGATACCAAATATAAAAATCCATACTCCCCACAGAGTTTTACCCATTCTTTTTGAACAAATATCTAAGACCTGAAAGTGAAGTGCAGGAAGGAGGGGTCTTGTCTTCAGTAGGCTGAAGGGTCAGATTCCGCTGGTGCAGGCTTCACTCAGGAGTAAAGGGCTCAGGCTGTGGTTCCTGCCAATATCAGGAAAGAATAAGCTGTCATCAGCACTTTGCACAGGCATTAGCATTTCACGTTGGTCTTGCAGGTGGTAGTTCTTCCAGATCTTCACCAGACTCTATCTCCTGTTAGAAACTTAAGTAAATTGGTGTCAGTAGAATGAGGTAATCATACAAAAGCATATTCATGAATGGTTTGTAAAACATTGTTTAAAGATTTTACCTACTTCATTTCCTTTCATTCTGTTATTACATGAATGGATATGGTACCCTTCCTTCAGAACGTTCTCCCATACATCATTCCAAAGCAATGAATTTAAGCCTGCTTCAGGGGGCTATTTGTATCCTGAGTAGAGCAAGTGGCAATAACTGACTCCATGGTAAGTTATTTTCCTGACACAACTAGCTAGTATTTTCATGATATCGGGGTTTATCTTCTCTACTTTTCCTGACAACTGGGGCTTCCAGACCCCATGAAGTTTCCACTGAATTCCTAAGGCCAAACATTTTCAGTGTGTCACCTGAGAGATGAAAGCTAGTGCATTGTCCTCTGGATTGAAAGCAAGAGTCCATATGTGTGAATGATTTCCATTAATAAGACTTTGGTTACTTCTGTAGTTCATTCTGTCCAATGAGGGAATGCTTCTGCCCATCAGAGAGTATCAACCAATACTAAAATAAATTTAAAGTTTGTGCGTGCTTGTGGCAAGACCATAAAGTCTACTTGCCAGGCTTCACCCAAATTGGAACCTCAATATTGCACTCCAGGCTCATAATGATGTGGAACACTGTTACTTGGATTATGTTTCAAACATCGGTGACAGTTCTGGGTGATCTCCTTTACTGCTTTAGCTGGGCAAGAGGCCACTAGTAATATTTGTATCCACTGCAGAGTAGCATCTCTTCCAAGATGTGTGTTTCAATGGAGGGCCTGGATGATTGATAACTTTTGGTCTTTTGGGAGAAAAACTCTTTACTTTCTCATTAAAATACCAATCATAAATAAAGTCCTTGTTATACGCCCCCCCCCCCCTTGCCCTTTCCAAAAGTTCAGATTGGTAGACAGGCTTAAGCAGCTCCTCTTTGTTAAAACTGGGAACAACAAGGGTGGTTTATCCATGGTCACCCTCTTTACCTCAGCATCTTCTTTCCTTTTGCCTCTATCCTTGACACCTTTTCCCTTTTGGTAACTTGGAGTATCAATAATTGCAACAATTTTGCAGTTGTTCACAGACTCCAACAGCTCCAGTATTGTTGGTACACTTTTTATGTCCCTCCCAGATCTCAAAATCCTCACTCCCTCAATTTAGTGTTGAAGGTCATGGGCATGCAAAACTAGCTGGAACAATTTATTGTCTGTATAATATTCACTCATTGTCCTTGGATAAGCAGAGGGCTTGCCTTAAAGCTACTAGTTCTGCCTTCTGCTATGAAGATGCAGGGGATAGAACCACACTTTGCAAAACTGAGTCCAGGTGCACTACCACATACCCAGCTTTTCAGTTTCCTTAAATCATGAAGCTGCTGCTGTCTGTAAAAATCTCTAGATCTGCATTCTGGAAAGGTGTGACAGATAGTTTGGTTGACTAGAATATACTTCTTCAATTATTTCTATGAAGCTATTAAAGATTATCCTTTCCTTCTGGGAGAAGTGTGGCAGGATTAAGGATAGTCATGGCATTCAAAGTCACATTTGCATTGTCCAGTATGATGGCTTGATATCTACCCACTATTCCTGCCATCAACCAATGACCTCCT